TATATATATATATATATATATATATATATATATATATATATATATATATGTGTATGTATTCTATTCTATTCAATTTGCAATATTTATTTAATAAATAAAACGACGAAATTTGTTGAAAACGTTTCTTTGGTTGGTTTCATTCATCTTCTTCTTTCTTGTTTGTTTATATGCAATTGTTCGTTCATGGTGAGATTAAGTTTTATTGTTTAAAGTGTTTAGAATTGGTTGCTTAACTTTAAATGAATACAAATACAAGTTTTTTTTTCCGTTTTTTGTTTTGTTTTAGTTTTACATGTAGCTAATATTATTTTTATTTATTTATTTATATTGTTGTACAATATTCCATTTTGAATAGTTTTCGAATGTTGTTTTGTTGCGTTTCTTTTCATTTGTTTTCTGTATTTGCGATTTCTTGAATTGGTGTCAAACATTTTCTATTTGTGGTTATATGCTTACCTTAATTAATGCTGTGCACAATGCATATATCATAATAATCATCGCCATCATCATCGTCGTCGACATTATCGTTATCATAAGTATAGTTATTATCGTTATAAATATAATTAAACGGTATGGCATGGAGTATTCGTTTTATACATACAAAAATTGAACTAAATTATCAATTGGCATATGCATAAACTAGAAAATATTTTCAGAATGAACCAATAATGACAGAAGAACATATATATATAAACAACTTGTGATGCGAGTGAGGAGTCTCAGCACAAGAACCATCGTAGTCAAACGTAAAAAGAGGCAACGTAAACTATTTGCATTGTAGATATATAATTACAACTAAATAGGTACAAATACTAAGTACTATATGTATATATATATATGCTTGTATATATAATCGAATTAATAATAATTTAAATAATACGTATAAACAACTAAATGTAGTATAGTATATATATATGTGTGTATGTATGTATATGAACTATAAACTAGCATTAAAAACTGTCGCCCACAGCATCTACGTAAAATGTACAGCAATCTTTTTACACAAGTTTTAAGTTTCAAGTGGTTTATCGAACACATAAAAACAGGAAAAATGATTAACAGCAGCGATTGCCTGACCCCCGAAACAGCAAAGATCAACAGCAGCAGCAGCGGCGGCAGCGGCAACAGCAGCAGCAGCTGTTGCTACCTGAATCCAGTCTCGCGCTTTAAGCCATTTAGATTGATTATATACACAACAGGCAGCTGTCGCCGCTAGGCCGAGGAGGTCCTGTATCCGAGCTCTTCACGTGCGCTCAATGCTTGACGTCCAGACGACATTTCTGCACACGCACGCGTACTCAGGGAAGCGAATTGATGTTCAGTGTGGGCGGTGGCGCTGCCGCCTGATCCCCCATGCTCATGTTGGGCGTCAGAAATGTCGTGGCTAGCTTCTCTCTCACCGCTCCCTCGGGCACATGCAGCTGGCAGTAGACTTTCCGCTCCGCCTCGCATAGACTCCAGCCGGCGAGTCGAGCGCACGGCACATGCGCCGCGGCCTTGCAGGTGCGCTCAAAGCAGCAGACAATGGCGCCCGGCTGGGCACAGTGCACGCACTGATACCGTGTGCTGTCCCAGACGGCTGCATCGAGGCCATTGACATGAGCGCCAATCAGCTGTATGTCATTCGCCCAGATGGCGCAGTCCTCGTGCAGCCAAATCTCGTAGCAATGATCCGATGTTTTCGTCATGCCGCGAAACGTCTCAACGAACTTGGCCTCATGGCCGCACTCGAGCGGATCCTGCGACGAGCACTGCGATTCGTTTGGATCAGCATCGCTGCAGGAGTAGACGCTGTCGTGGGTCTGCTTGCGCTTGCGTTTGTGCTGCAAGGAAACAAAATGATATATTAATTAAAGTTCTATATTAATTCTGGTTACTACTCACCATCGTTATCTTGGGCGCCTGCATAATGTTCGCCAGCGTTGCGGGCACCACGGGCAGATTGCGCTCATGCATCTTGACCATGTCCGACCGCTTGCGCTTGCTCGTGAACAAGCCGTCGATGTCGTGCACACCTGCCGGCACCTGCACCGCCGTGCGATACTCCTCACAGTCTATGGAGACCAGATAGGGACCGAAGAGATCGCCCAGCCCCAGTTTGTGGGGCCCGCACTTGCAGAACACACAAATCCAACTGGAGTCTGTGGTGTCCGCATCGTAGCGGTTGCTCAACGTCGAGCTGTGCATGCCGCGCAGATTTTTGCGCTCGTGCGGCGCCTTTGTGTGCATCTTCTTCGTCTGCTTCTCGTTCACATCCTCGGCATTGTGCGTATTCTTAATGCTAATGCTGCCATCGGGCTTGATCTGTATGAATGGGGACTTGAACCTGAGATCTGACGCAGCAGCGCCATTGTTGTTGCTGTTGCTGCTCTCACGATTGGGCGCCGGAGTGCTGTCCTCGTCGGTGCTGAAATTTTTGCGCACGCTTCCCTTTTTGCCCGCGTTGCCCTTGGCGCCATTCTTGGCCGCCGGCTTTTTGCCTTTGGGCGCATTCTTTTTCTTCTTCTTGTTGTTGGTGTTGGCATTGCCGTTGCTTGCCTTGGGCGCGAGAGCCTTGGCTGCAGCTGCCTCGCTGAGCTTGCGCGCCGCCAGAGCAGCTGCTGCCGCTGCCGAGGTGCTCGGCTTATCATCATCACTGTCCAGCTGCATGACTTCAGTTTCTGGCGCAGGACGAGGCGGCGGTGCTGGCGCCGCCTTCTTCCGCGCTGGCATTTTCTTTGACTCCTCAATGGTGAAGCGCAACAGCGATGGATCCATGCCCATTGAGAGCCGTCGCGGTGGCAGGCAACGCGTTGGCGGCGTCCGTGGCGGCATTTTGGCGCTTGGCGGCGTCGCAGCTGCAGCTGGCGCCGGCGACTGTCCTGTGGCGTGCTCCTTGGCTGGCGGCTCGGCCAGCGGCGTGGGACTGTGTATGGGACTGGGCATTGTGGATTTCATGGCTGCCTTTGTGGCCATGGGCCGCAGCTCGGGTGTGGGTGCAGGAGTGGATGCTGGGGTTGGTGTTGGTGTGCTGGCCGCTGGTGGAGTGCTGGCTAAGGGCTTATCCTTGTCTAAAGCTAATTGTGCAGTCAGATCTGCTCTTGGTGCTCTTGCCGGCTCATCGGCTTGCTGCTCGGCCGGCTCATCCTCAATGCCGGCAAACATTTTCTCCAGCTTATCCTCCACCTCGTTGAAATGGCACGGCTCTGTGGCTCCAGTTGCTGTGGCATTAGTTGCTGCTGCTCCTGCTGCTGATGTTGCTGTTGCTGCGACTGCGGGCGATTCTTTTCCAACTGGCGATTCCACTTCATCCTCATCATCGTGCACGCTCACCGCTGGCTTGGCATCAATGTCGCCCTGTTCGACTAAAGCTGGCGATGCGGGCGTATCTGTGATTACGGCCTTGTTATTGTCCAGCTGCTGCTGCTGCTCCAATTGATCTTTGCCAGCAACCGCCTCGCTGGCTCGACTGCTGTGGCTACTGTGTGTCCCAGCGCTGGAGCTGCTCGAGCTGCTGCTACTGCTATTGCTCTGCGGACTGGGCGGTGGCATTTGCGATTCATTGGCTACCTTTGGAGCGGGAGATTGGCGCTGCTGCTGCTCCTGTTGATCCTCATCATCAACCTGGCGACGATGCTGCTGCTGCTGTTGCTCTGTGAGATTGCGTTGCAGCAGCGCTTGTCGTTGCTTCTTAGTCTTGGGATTATCCGTATCGTTGTAGATCGTGGAGCTGTTGCTGCTATTGTCTGCTGCCGCAGCAGTTGGTGGCGACGATGCACGCCCATTTTCGTGCGGCAGTTCGTGCTGTTGCGGCTGCTGCTGGTGCTGTTGCTTATCCTTAAGGCCGAACGGCTGAAACTCTTGCACATCGGCTCCATTCTTGGGCGAGTGCTTTGGACTGCAGCTGTTGCTATGCGGGCTCGGGGTACGCTGTCTTTTCACATTTTCACTGGGTGTCAGGCGCATCACCTGGCTGGCTTTGCGCTTGCGCCGCTTGCGACTATTGCTGCTGTTGCTATTCGACTCCAGCGACTCCTCATTGGATGTGGTCATGTAGGGTGATTCGGGCGCCTCTACCAAGTGCTTGTCCTCGGCTATTTGTTGATTATTGCTGCGATACGACGCTGTTGTGGAGAGATCCGTGATGATCGGCTGTGAATCTTCCTGCTGCTGTTGCTGTTGTTGTTGTTGCTGATGTTGATCCTCCGGCTTTTGCTTGGACAGCATATCGAGATTCGTTAATTGCGTATTGCGGGAATGCATTTGAGACGTTTGCTGTGTCGTCGCTGGCTGCTGCTGCTGTTGTTGCTGCTGCATCGGCGGCTGCTGCCGCTGCTGAAATTGTGCATTTGTCATATGCGACAGCGGCGGCGGAGGTGGCGGTGCCAGATGTTGGTTATGATGTGTTGCTGGTGGTGCATAATGTAAATGTTGCTGTTGTTGCTGCTGCTGCTCCTGTGGCATGTGCTGCTGCTGTGACGCATAGCTACCAATTCCTGCGTGCAGCTGATGATGCAAGTGCAATTGATTATAGTCCAGCGGTGACTGCGGCGTAGGCGGCGTTTGCGGTCCGTTATACTTCGGCGGCGTCATGTTATAGGGCGACTGCTGCTGCTGCTGTTGCTGTTGCTGCTGATGATAATTGCGAAGCGGCGAGGCTGCAAGAGAAGTCGTTAACGGTTAGATAAGCTCTTTATTTATATCGCATGTACTTACGCTTTTTGGAGTGCTGTTGCTGCTGTTGTTGTTGTTGTTGTTGCATGTTGTGCGTAGCCAGCTTGCCTGTATAGCTGCAATCTTTTCCGCTTAGCTCGCTGCCCTTTTGCATGTTCTTCAACTGCGTCAGCTTAAAGTTCTCATCACGATTTTGCATGTAATGGGGCGGCGGCACATTGTTGTTGTTATTGCTACTGTTGCTGCTGCCGCTGCTGCCTGTGTTGGTGTTGTTGTTCGCATTGCTGCCGTTGCCGCTGCCGCTAACGCTACCGCTGCTGCTGCTGCTGTGATTATTATTGTTGGGCGGGGTACTGGGCGGCGGCGGCAACAGCGACTCGCAATCTCCTGGCCCCGAACCATTCGCATTCAGATATTTACTGGCAGAGCTAGCTGGCGAGGTCGATGCAGGCATTCCCGGCAGATGTCCTGCGGGCGTGCTTGTCGTCAAATTGTGACTGTGAATAGCAAGTATATATTGATTTCATCAAGCAAATATGTTTGGCAGAGCAATGTCTAGCTTACATCGTTGGATAATTGGGCGGTGCATGTAAATGCGATTGTTGTTGCTGCTGTTGTGATTGCTGCTGCTGCTGCTGTTGTTGTTGCTGCTGCTGCTGCTGCTGTTGGCTAGTTTTGTTCAGCGTGGGCGCAGCGCTGCGACTTGATTGCAGCGACAAATCCATGGAGTCAAAGGGCAATGTTCCAGTGTAAGGCGGCGCCAGCAATGGATTCATTTGATGATGATGATCCAGCTGCAAGTGCGATCAAATGTGATTAGATATGAAAAAAAAAAAAAACAAGCAAGGGTGTAATCAAGGCAATAAAAACAAGCGATTGGACAAGAAGCAACTACAAATGCAACAAAAGAGAGAAATTTGAAGGAAGTTTGGGATTTAGCTACGGGTGGCATTCGGATTTGATTGGAGTTTTATTATTATTTTTTTTTGTGGATCTAATCGAAACGAAAACTACGCTAATTACGTTTTTATGATTGGCCGACATAAAATTGTAAATGGCATCGGGCGGTGGCGGCGGCGGTTGGGCGGACGACGCATGCCAGGCCAACGGTGAGCGAACCAGCGATCTTTCATTGGACATGTGCGCCAATTGCGGCTGTCGCGGTATATACGAGGGTATCTGCAGAGATGATGGATGCATCTGTTTTTCAGCTTCGTCGTCAAGGCATTCTATGTCTGTCTGTCAGCGTGTGTGCGTGTCTGTTTTTGTGTCTACTAGATACTTACTTGGAGGGGATTCCATGAGGGATTCTGTGCCGCCTGACTCAAATGTCCGTGCGGATGATTGTTGTTGGACATGATTAGCTAGTCAATAACATATGTATAACATATATATATATAGATAGATGTATCCCTAACTAAACAGGTGATGCATGAGACTCATCTAAAGGGAGAAATTGATTGCCGACAATCGAGGGGCGGCCGTCATGTGACAAACCGACACAGAAGAACCGGGGCGTAGTTAGTGGAAATAGTTACAACTATCCACGGGACTCACTCTCAGGAAAACTAAACACAATTTCGGCTGATATTACTACTAGGAAACACATTTAATTGGTTTTGTTAACACGAGCACCTGACACTGTCTATGGGGCCATACGGCATAAGGTGCTGTGTCCTGTCGCTCATTTGCTTATGGTGGCGGCTGTGACTATGCCGCCGTTTGAAGCACCATTGGCAGTTAACTAATTATTGCAGCTTGTATTTAATTCGAGTATAAACAAATTTCGCACGCACTTTTTTCACACCAACCACACGACCACATCCACCCACTTGCAAAAGTTTTCAGCGAGCGGTCCTTGCGCGATAATCGTAGACAGTCGATAAATTATCGGCAGCGTTGTTTTGCATGCCTGTCCCTGGTATGCGCTGCTGCTGCTGCCGCCGCTGCTGCTACTGCTGGTGCGGCCGATGGGCGCTACGCGAAAAACACGCGGTCTTTGTATCAATGAATGTTGTCTTATGTTGCCTTATGGACATTTTGTTGCAATCGCATTTGCCATTTGTTTGGTAATTGAATGTGGTTAGAGAAGTATGTGACTGGCTGGGCATAGGTGAGTATTAGTTGGGGAGTTTTGCTTGATGATAAGCACTCTGTTTGCACAATACCTCAATCTTGCCTTCTCACTCACTCAACTGCAGCGCATTGCAGCTTCGTTGTGACTGTTTTTGCGAATTACTTGTTTTGGGCCGAAAAGGCAGGCCAAAACCAAGCCTTGCCAAATAGCACAAACACCCGCACTTTATTGCTAACACATTGTAACGATTCGTTAATCGAATTATCATTTATTTTTTACAAATGCCGTATTAGTTTTAGACGATTTTTTGTGTTTCAATTTGTTTAAAACAAAATGAATTTTACGTGTGCTTCTGCTTCTGTGTTATGTGTGTGCCTATGTGTGTGTGTTTCTTGGTTCATTAGTGGAGTGGATGAACCACAGTACTGGTTCATCATCAAGTGCAACATTGCGAGCTCACTCACCACACATAAATCAACAAAATAAAGAAACGGTATAAAGTGAATATTTAATGGGATATAAATATAAATTGATATGTAATTAGAATTGAATTATATTGTTATTTTTCAAGAAGTAATTGCCCTATGGCATGCGATGTGTATTTCGCGGGTAAATCAGTCAGCTTTTGTCACGCAGTTGCGATTTTAAACAATTCTGTAGCCCTGGATTGCAGAAGTGTCTGCATTTCACTATTGATATTAAATCCGCTTATCACATATGTAGGTAAAAACTCTACAGAACAATTTTACTTTAACATGGAATCTAATAAACGTGGTGCCTTTATAGTATTTGAAGGCTGCGATCGTGTTGGCAAATCAACGCAAAGCAATCAACTGTGTAAGTAAATAAAGTAGATAAACCAAAACTGAGCTCTCGCTTGTAAAATGTTTGGCACTTAATTTGTATATAACTTGTGAAACTAATTGATTTATTATGCTTCAACCTTAAGTTTTACATAATAGCACTTGAGATCTCAAATGTACGCCATAAATACTGATTACTTTTGTAAATGGAGAGCTTTACGTGCATTGGTAATCGTGGCTAATTTTCCCGCTAAAATACTTAGTAATTGTAATGCGGTTAAGAGAATCTATTGTGAGCTGGGAAATATATATAACTTATTAACCTATTGGTAGCAGATTTTAGTTCTTTACCTTCCTACTCCATACTCATAATTGAAAATTATATCGTGAGTATTCATTCCATTAACAGCGGCTTTGTTCAAATTTTGCTGTAATGGACCAGCCACAGAAGGATAACGAATACATCCTATATTTCCACATCTGCTAAGATAACTTCAATTGAAAACTCCTGTAATATCACTCTAATCACAGTCGAACGGCTAAAGGACAAAGGTGTTGCTGTGAAGAAAATCAACTTTCCGAATCGCAGCACAATAATTGGCGATGTAATCAATCGATTTTTGAAGAACACCGAAGAGTTGTCCAACGAAGTTATACACCTGCTCTTCTCGGCGAATCGTTGGGAATGCATAAGCAGCATCCAAGCGGATTTAATGGCCGGCACGACAATAATATGTGACCGCTATGCCTATTCCGGCGTGGTCTATTCGGTGGCCAAAGGACTTGACTTTGATTGGTGTTGGGCACCAGATCTAGGCTTGCTGAAACCCGACGTTGTATTCTACTTAAAGGCGAATCCCGATCAGCTAGCATCTCGAGACAGTTTCGGCAACGAACGGTTTGTATAACAATATCAAGTTGGTATATTATTTATTATTGGATCTACTGTCTTACAGCTACGAAAAATTGGAGCTGCAGCGCAAAGTGAGCGAGCTATTTGATCATTTTAATGAAAGGGAATCCAGTTACTGGCATCAATTCGATGCATTCGAAACGAAACAGGAGCTACATTCGAAGATTTCAACAATTACGGAAAATCTATTATTGCAAGTGGCAGAGAAACCGCTGGAAAGGCTGACGTAATAATCAATGCAATGGATTTCCATTGATTTACGTTTACGCACACGATTTACATTAAATTTTCGTTTGGCGCATTGTGATTAATGCATTTGTAAATAGTATAAATAAAATAACAGCAATTTCAATGGGATTATGAATTTAAATTGGTTGAAATAAAAATGCAAAAGTTCAATTGTAGAGACATCAATATAGATTTACAAACGTGTTTAAGCCCATTGATTTATCGCCCGTATCTTTGGTTGCTCCATTGTTTAATTCATTATTATACTTAACTATACCATATGGTGTGTATGTGTTTTTTTTTTTTTTTTTGATTTTTTAGTTTTGGTTTTTACAGTTACAATATGAACAAAGAGTGTATTACGGCTAAGACCACAGCAAGAACAAAATAGTATGTTAATGTACACCTTCAACTTAGTTGCTAAATGATCCAAAAATTTCGTTTGTGATGCGCTGCCCATTGTGCTTGGCACTTGGCTCGCCTGGCCATGTCATTCCATTTAAATCAATTCATAGTTCTCATAGTCCAAGACATCTTCACGTCGACTGCGACCAGCGGCGGCTGCCCTTGTTCCTGCTCCTGCTCTGGCTTTGGGTTTCCGGGTGCGCAGCGTCAACTGGCGATAGCCCGTGCCCGGCTTGTAGTCCACATTGCCAGCTGCGACGCCTGCTTGAAATTTGCTGGGCGTGTTCCGGAACCGTTTCTGTGCCTGGTGATAGGTGGCAATGTCGCCATAGCTATGCTTCGGCCACATGCACTCACAGCCCGAGGGCACAGTTCGCGTCTCCGACTCCCAGCAGCCGCTGCCCTCATTGAGGCGTATCAGGTGTATGGTGCGATTCAGTTGAATGCACGAAAAGCCAGCTGTCGAACAGATCTGCAAGGATCATGCGATTATATATATTCAATTTATGAAAGAAAAAACTTTGTATAGAATATAGAGAATATGAAGCTAGAGTTTCATTTTATGCATGGTTCTTGTCATCTATAATTTTTTCAATAGCTTTTATACCTTTCGAATGTCACTCAACTTCAAGTAAATATCAAGTATACGCACCTCACGCTTTACGCCAGCTCGCAATGCACGCAGCAACGGCAGCTCGTTGTTGTGATAGCTGTCATAGCTATGCAGGCGGGCAGGCAGCGGTGCATAGTTGCTGTCACAGGTCACCTCGACATAGTGATTGGGCCGATATTCGCCATTGTCCAGCTTCACAGTCACACGCTTCGTGGGGCACAACGATTGATAGGTGACCTGTTAAGAGTTCAGACACACACACACACACACACACAAACAAAAAAAAAAACTATGAATGTCAGTTAACATTTTTGGATGCTCTACTTACACCCACGTCGCCGGACTGCTGCTGTGCGGAGAGTGGAGGTGGCAGCACGCTGCGCACGCGACGCTTGCGCACATTCTGTATGCCATAGGGCAGCTGGTCGCTGAGCTCATCTGCATCCATTGTGCCCACAGCGTAGTCCTCCTCGCCCTCAATGTCGACGTCGTCGTCTGACGTCTCGCTGGGCATTTCATAGCGCTCCGGTTGACCGACTGCTGCTGCTGCACCTCCTGCTCCTCCTGCTACTTCTGCTGCATACCTACAAATTGCATATGCATAGAAAAATTTAAGCTTTGGCAATGAATTAGCGGCGATGCTCGCTCACTTGCAGCTGCCGGAAACGGCTGCGGCCGTCCGTAAAATGCGCTCAAAAAAGCAAAAAGTAAAAGAGAAAACAAACAGAAAAAAATAATAAATTCGCTTTTGACGTTTGCTATTTGCATGGCGTTAGATAGTTTTTAGATTCCTCTTTTTTTCTCCATTTTGTTTTTTTTTTTTTTCATTCATTATTTTTACTTTTTTGCAGCTGGGCAACAAAAGCGCATCATTTTGCATTCAACTGCAGCAAATGCCAATGAATTTTTTAGCTTTCATTTTGCGGCGTTTGCCATCCGCGTTTATATCTAGCGCGTGGGTTTGGAACGCTGGGATGGTGGGACGGGCGGCATGGAATTCGGGGCGTGGCATACACAAAGCTCCCATAGTAACGCGACTGTCGTTGGCTGCCAGCGGATTTCCTCTTTTTCGTTGTCAATGCTTTGCGCTGAGCGGCAAAACCCAACAGCGACACCACCAAGTACCAAGCACCAGGCACCACCCAACCGCCCACTCAGACAACTGCAACTGCAACCACTCACAGCGTTGGCGTTGGTGGAGTGGGCGCATTTTGAAGCGCACTTCAGGGCAAACACAACGGCTTTGATAGTTTTGTCGCAAACTTTGCGAAAATGTTTAGAAACGAATGGCTGTGTTTTCGAATTGTTGCCTTGGCCGTTGACTTAGATGAAGACTGGCCGGATTGGTAACAATACCTCCCCAAAAATAGAAGACAAAATGAACTTTGCTTTTGTTTCAACGAAATGGCTAAAGAAAATCTCTGAAAAATTTAGTTTCTAGTTAAACTTAAGTTTAGTTTAGTTTAAATTATTTTTTAAATTGTTTTTTTTTTTTAAACAATATATATATATATATATATATATTATTTTTAATTTATGATCTTAGCTGCTGATAAAAATATTTTATTATTTTATATATATATTTTCTTTAAATATATTTATTTAATACAAAATTAATCATAATAGACTTTGGCTATTTTCAAAAAATTTATTTTACAGATAAATTTAAATTTTAAATTAAAAATTTTATTATTTTTTATATTACATATATTTATAATTACAATTTTTAAATATGTATATATTTATTTTTTAAATTTATTCAACTTTTTAAATAAAATTAATATAGTAGTGTTCATTGCTTTTATATTATGAATATTAATCCATAAGTTTTATATTTATTTATATTAAAAAAAAAAGTTATTGTTACAAAATGCATATATATTTCGTATCAGCAGCTTTTATATTTAACAATAAACAACTGAGCCCTTCTCAAATATGCTTTAATTTCAACTACTAGACTTTGGCTTTAAGCTCAATACATTCATTAAATTCTCTGCCTGAGTAGCGCATTCATTTGTCTACTTATGCCCACACAAGATGTGGCATTTTTTTTTTTCTCTGTGGATTTCCCAGTCTTTTGTCTTCGTCAATCTTTTGTTGGTTGATTTCAGCTTGACGCCGAATTACGTAATCTTTGGCATGGCGCAACGCAATCGCCTGATCCTGCTAAGCCTGATCTACCCAGCGCACAAACACACACACACACCCACACACACACAATAACAAAGAATGATGAAGAAAGAGCAATGCTAGCGAATCAGCTTAAATGCATGCAAGGTCTGGCTTTTAGTTGATATGCAGAGCAAAGCTGCAGCCAAATCCAGCAGCTCAGCTGTGGGCGGACGGGGACTTACTGCTATCATATTTGGGGCACATTGAGGCATGTGACAGAGCCAGCAGCAGTTGCAAGTGCAACGTGACATCAATAGAGAGAACAAGTAATGTCTGCTGCTAATTTGCACTTGTTGTCCATGGCTGGGCATGACATGGGCAGGCATATACATATATACCATGTACAGGTGCTGCGAGCCACCTACCTGTTCATGTAGCTGCCACGACTGTGTCGCTTCTGTGGCAAATGCGTTTCTTCTCCTTCAAATTCAGCTGCGGCTTGCCACACATTGTTATCGTAGTTGTTGTTGTTGTTGTTGTCGCTATCGTTGTTGCTGTTGCTGTTGCTCTGCTGGGCAGCAAACATGCCTGCACCTTGCACAGCCGCATTTAAGTCAGACAATTGCGAAAGGAAGTCATTGCGAGCTGCCTCGGGATCATCAACAAATTGTTGCTGCTGTGGCTCCTCTGGCTGCTCTGGCTGCTGCAGTTGCTCCTGGGAATTTGCATATAGTTTTTGCTGCCATTTGGCTGTTGCTTTGTTGTCATTGTCGACGATGCCATCAATGTTGCCATAATCGTTCTCGTTGCTGCTGTAATAACTGTTGTATCTATTGTTAGCAGCGTCCTGCAGCCTGGACTCCTCGAAGGCCAATGCGAGCGTTGAGCGCCGCGTTGAGCTACCAAATCGTGCAGCAACAATGGCCAACAGCAGCAGCTGTAAATGGAACAAAAAAAAAAGAGAGAATACATAACTACAACAATTTTCGATTGTGCTTAAAAATAGATGAAGAAGCATTTCGTATGTGCACCAAGCAACATGGCCACTAATGCGTGGGGAAGGTCTCTCAGGCACTTGCTGCTGATTGATAAGCGAGTGAAACAAGAGCCCAGACACAAACTTCCTGTCGCAGAGTTCAATTCCCTTTTTGGATGTTGACAATCAATGCGTCGGCATAATGTCACAACCTTTACCCCATCCAACTGAGCAGACCTGAAACCCTAAAACCAAAACCGAACCCAAACAAGTTGTCTAAAACTTTGGAGCCTTGTCCAATGCCGGGTTTCACTTCACACAGACTCGGAGTCAGCGCGTGAGCGGGATGGCTGCATTCCACGCGCCTATTCTCGACTGTTTCGGACATGAAAAACTTTCGACGAGAGCAGCACTTGGACCTTCACTCTCCGCCTCGTTCTGGCTGACTTTGATTATGTGGTCTGATTCTCTATTTCGCAGTTTGCCTCTTGTCCTTTCTCTTTGGCTCCATCGGAGCCTTCAGGCCAAATAGAGCCGTCGCGACGCGTCATCGCATTTTGTGTTGTGTGCTGTGTGTTTTGGATTCCTGATAATGGCCCATGGCTGGGCCTGGTCCTGGTCCTGGCCCTGGCCAGGCTCTTGGCCTGCCGTGCGAGCCATGCGATAATATTCCGCACGCGTTGCTCTCTTGCCATATAAGCGGAGCGGAGCATATGTATATTATGTACTTTATAGGTATGTAGTCCTATATATCAGCACATTCATAATAAGCGCACGATACGTGACCAAATAGTTGGCGCCTCAAAAAAAGAAAATGCTCAAAAAAGGAAGAAAACTATGCAGTTCCTGGCGGAGCGTGGGTAATGGGCGAGAGATTGAATAATAAATACCCTGTACAAGAGTAATGTGAGTGCAGCATGTCGTTGAATAAATATATAAGCAATAATATGATTTAGTTTTGATGTGATATGCATAGCAAATATTATGCTAAAAAATATGAAAGATATATATGCTTTATGTAAATCAGATAAATATATAACATTTTTTTATATATTTTTAAAATAATTTTGTATAAATAAACTAAGATTAAAAAATTTGTATTAATTATAAAAAAAAAAAAATATTTTAAATATAAATATCAATATATTTTAAATATTTTGCTGTTTTAGAAAGATATATAAAAAACATATCAAAAAAATTTTAAATGTATGTACATATAGAAAAAAATATGTATATTCAAATTAAATATTTAAAAAAAATATATAAACAAAATATGTTAAACATTTCTCAATTTTTTTTAATTGTACATATTAATGTGAAAAATATATGAATGATTTTTTGTTAGTAATATAATAATATTATTTTTAATTTAATTAAAATCATTAACATACATACATCCTTCAAATAATATGAATAGTAATAATAATATTTAAATTTAAAAACTAAAAATAAAAGTATTCCCCAACTCTACGCCAAATTGTGAAGGTATGAAGCGCTGTAAATGGCATAAATCTTTCACTTTGGACTACAAGTTCTTTTATCTCCATCTAGTTTTACATGCATACAACACACACAGACACATAGAAATGGCACACATATATATATATGTGTGTGTGTGTGGATGCTATATAGAAATACAAGTTTCTTGTTGCTGTGGCTTTATAAGATTTCTTTTATGTCTGCTGCTGTGTGGCATTTCCTGCCTATCGTCGCTTCGCACTGCCGCAAAACTTCTTTCATTTGCGCTTTTTGCCTTGGCACCCAAGTTGCCATATCCTCGTCGCTTGGCCCCAGCCCTGCGCCGATCCACCACAAACCAATTGGAGCCAAGTTTTTGGGGCAAGTTTGTCAAACTATTTGTATGGAATTCACAATTTCTGTTGATGAAGTTTCGCCCAAGCCGCTTGCTGCTGGCTTACGATGGCCGCGTGATCTGCGTGTACAAGTGTTTATGGAATTGAATACTTAGTGCCGGGGCTGACGAAGCCATGGCGGCTGTGCAGCAGTAGGTGACAGTTGTGCGCCGTTGTTAGTCGAATCGACTGCCTGTTGGTCTTACAGGTGGCTTTGTCTTAGTTTAAGGCATCTTCTGCCGATTTAAAGTTGTCAGCATAAGCTGCTTTTTCCCAGTCCAGTTGGGTCAAGCCGAAAAAGGGTCGCCTAATCCCAGCTGCAAATCCCTGTCACACGCTCGTCTCAAGTATTTTTGATGTCTTGCTCTCATTGGATTTTAGGGTTTGTTTTGATTTCACGCAATTTAATTTAAATGTATATAATTTTTATATAATTCATTGTTAAGCAAAGTGCATAAGGCATTTATCATGCATATTAATCCTTGCCGAGGTTGTTTGAGCACTTTTTATGCCTCTTTTAATGAACATTAATTAAATAAATAATTGCTTAAATAAATATGGATGTGCGCACGTGTCGAGCACAATTGAAATCATAATTTCATAATTTATTAGTTCACATTTACAGCCGTTTCTCTGTGTGCTGCATTATGCATAACTCTTTGTGTGTTTTTTAAATATTTGCTTTGGTTTACTGTAATACCTCTGTGATATAAAAAATAGAGAAAATCTAGAGCTTATATTTGCATAGAAAATGTGTGCTGTTTTTTAAGTTACATAAGCAGAGTTCTGCTGCTGGCAGTGCTCGACTTGCTGATACCCTTAATGCATTGCCAAGATAATTTGCAGTAGTTTATTTTGTTAGCATACCTTAATCAATACATTTAAAAATCATTCTCTCCCAACAAATTGCATTTTTCTCTCTTAATTTTATTCATAAAACTATTTTCATTGTCATTATTATTATTAAATGATACAGAAATAATATTAACAGAATTCTGTTTAAGCAATATTAAAATGTATACTAATAGTACTTAATAAATTTTAATATTTACCAAAGACAAAAATAACACGCTTCACTACAGATCGACCGAGCCACACTATATAAAGCAAACGACTAACTGAGCTGCGCAGCAGGCCTGCCTTTATATAGTAAGTGAACGAGTCACTCGAAACCCCACTCTGAAGCCTTTCTCTGAGTGTAGCTTGATCGACTGAGAGCGCTGATTGCTGATTGGCGCTTGCTTCGCTTCCGTTACAGCAAGTGCTCTCGTTTACTTCGTACACGCACACATACGCACTCTAGAGCCGTTTTCTAGAGTCCAGCATTGATCGACTGAGAGAGAGAGAATGCTAACTGTTGATTGGTGGTTGGTCTGCAGCTGCTCTCACTTAAAGCTCTTTTGCTTCACTAACACAAGCATACGCACATACGCCATGCAGCCTTTCTCGGAGTCTGGCATAGATCCACTGAGAGCGCTAACTGCTGATTGGTGCTTGGTCGGCTGCTGCTCTCGCCTCAAGCTCTCTCCCTACTTCCAGGCACACTCAATCGCATATAAACGCCTCACTCAAATCTTCTGCATCAGCTGCAGGTGCTCTCGCTCACTCCAATACACGCGCACACACACACAAACTGCAAATTGATTATAGAGAGTACTAGAGCCAATTTTGTCTCTTGATGTGCGAGTTTTTTCTTCCTCTGCTCGTTACAAATTTTACCAGAAAAACGTAAAACTCTCACTGCCTATTTTTAGAGGGGTTTTTATTATACATACATACATATTTTACATACATTTTTTTTATAAATATAAATATATATATTTTTTTATTTTAAATTTAGCCAATTTAAACACATTTTAGTTGCTTTGGATTATATTGTTAGTAGTTATTAATTTTGCTTTTTTATTTAAAACTGAGTTATTATTTTTTTTTGTTATTTTGTAATTATTTATTATTTTTTTTATTTTTTTTTTTTTTTTTTTTTTTTTACCCA